CCCTCCCCTATCCTTCCTCTTGCCTATCATTCACCCCCTTGGTAAAACTTTCTTTCTCTCCCCAGTCTTCCACTGCATGAAAAATTCAAGATGGCAGCTGAACTTTTTACGATGTGAGCGCTCGCTCGAAAAAATCTCGCCTGCTCTGCAGGCTAATTATATATGCTTTTTTCAGTTTTTTTTTTAATTCTTTTTTTATTATTATCAGCATTCAACCTAGACTTTTACACAGATGTGTTAGATCTGAATTTTCTATTGGACCACATCAAAGACAATCCATTTACACAGAAATATAAAAAGCTGAATGAAGCTTTGGTTGGTTTAGTGGAGGATTATGGCTTGGTGTCATTTAAAACACTGGATATTCAGGTACACTATTAGTACACTGTAGGTGTGATTAAGAAACCTGTTGACATAGTGCAGCAATGAAATATGGCTTAAGAGAAGTGGCTTGCACTCGACATATTGCAATTTATTTTTTCCCAAGAGGGCACATTAATGAATCCTGCAATGTGGTTGTTTCTTTGTGCAGTCTGGATTTTCCTATCTCTGCCCACAGTTTCAGTAAATTGCCTACGATGTGTGTGTTGAAAAGGTCAACAATTACAAAAGTGATTTGAGAGAGAGGAAATACAATCATAAATAAGTTATTTACTGGCTTAGGGTTGGTCCATGTAGTGAAAGACTGTGACCCTCAGACTTGACAATGCTGCCCTCGGCCTACAGCCTAAGGCAGTATTTTTCAAGAGCTGGCAGTCACAGTTTTTCACTGTATGGTCCTGTCACCATGATCAATTTTGTTCAAAGCTAGGAAAACAGACCAATGTAATGTTTCAGGGAAAAAAAATGTGATATGGATTCTTATTACGAGAATATATCTTTTACAGAAGCAGTTTCTGAATACATGTACATTGACTTATGGAAAGTGAAAATAGCTTCATTGGATTCTCGCCTTAAGCAGAGACCTTACTTAGGGGGATAGGGGTGGGGGAACTCTCACCGACTCTCTGGTCTAAGAGAACAATTATGGGCTCCCTGTATAGATACCTGTCAATTGCAGATCTATGATGCACTGGTTTTAGTTGCTGGTTATGAATTAATTGCAAGCTCCTTTTTACAGTCTAAGGAAAGCATGATTGAGGTGATGAAATCAGTCGATCGAGCTAATGGATATCTCTTTGGTGATCTTGAAGACAACAAGGGAAACTTTAGCCAACTGATGTCCTCTGCTGTAGGAACGGATTTTGAATTCTTCAGGTTAGTTCATGAATACAGCATCAGAAACTCGCGCTGCTCTCTGACCAAGCATGTACATGTAGTGTAAAATGAAATATGAAATGTAAAGAACGAGCGAGTTAAGGAGAATGGGGCCCAGTGAACACTCTTCACATTTCCGCTTGGCCCCATTCCCTCTCGTGCTTTGTGCACGCACAGGAACTAACGTTAGTCGACCTTGTGGGTCAAGATGTTGTCGGGCAACTTTAAGCAACGGTCACAATTTTGCACTGTCTCGTTGCAGAACTGCAGCAATTCAAGAGAAGTACATGGAGGATGAGGACGAAAAGCGATAATCGACATCGAGACGAGAATGAATCTGCTGCTCTTGTTCAAAGGACTTAGTCTTGTCTACTTTATTTGCATTTTTTATAGATGTCTCCGAAGAAAAAAAAACTGCTTTAATGACAAAATCTAATAGGAGGGATGGTCAAGGAAAGAGCGACAAATAAACAAGTCTAAGACTTTCCCTATATCCAAAGATCTAAGCCTTGTCTATACTTTATTTATATTTATTTTGGCTTTGACTCCGAAACAAAAAAATTCTTTTTAATGACATAGAGAACTGTTCGCCGGCAAAGTCTACGTATACTAGGAGGGATGGTCAAGGAAAGAGCGACAAAGTAGTCTAAGACAGAGTTTATTTCCGACAGGCAACATACACAGAGGGCGATCACAGCTTGAGACCTGCATATTGCGTGACGGCCGTTTGTTCGTGTATTGATTTTAATCACCGCACTATCGCAGGTTTAGAAAGCGCCTTTCTCGTTTAAATAACGTGCATTTCAAGGGTTATCGATAGGCACCAAGCGCATGTTCATACAAGGATCTTTGGCGCGTGAATTCGGTTTTGTATGTAGTTATAACTGCGGACTCGGATCAGGCAGTCTGTTATGAATTGCGACTATTTTCAGAGACGTATTGTGTTTATATCAAGCTAAAGGACGCTTTAATGTATTGAGACAAAGCTTCGTAAGAAGATAAATGGGTTTCGAGCAGAATTGTGGATGATTTCACTTGCTACAGTTTTACGCCTTCAGTGTTTTGGGTACCCAAAACACTAGGGATTTGTGACAGCGTTCGGGGTAGTTTGGGGGGAGGGACGGGGAATTTTGTTGAATGACGATATTTTGAATGTCCGGGAACTTTCAAAACCTTTGTCATAAAAGAAGGTATGTTATTAAATCAC